TCGTGATCCACCTGCCTCGGCCTCCCAAAGTGCTGGGATTACAGGCGTGAGCCACCGCGCCTGGCCACGAAGGAGCTTTTAATGGCCAAATCTAGGATTATTTGAGCACCAAAGTAAAAAATGATAGTAATGATTTAGATTCCATTAAATAAGAATCCACAAGTCTGTATTAGGTGGAGGCTCTGTGCCCAGTATAACTAATGTAATGGATACTAAAACCCCAGTAGGTGGAAGTTTGAGAAGTAACAGGATCTTTACCTAGTCTCAAAGTATATCTCTACAAGATAATAAAAATAATAACTTTACTGAAGAGAAACCAGATGGACAACACTTCAGCTAACAGTTCAAAGGTCATTACCAGTAATGAGAGAGAGATTTCATGTGCTTCCTCATAGGATGCACTCACTCAAACATGTCATCACTTCTATTCAGGAGGAAACCTCAGACAGCCCCAAAAAGAAAGTGACCTACATAACAACTGGCCTGCATCTTTCAAAAATATAAAGATTAAGATTTCAGCCGGGCATGGTGGCGCATGCCTGTAATCCCAGCACTTTGGGAGGCCGAGGTGGGTGGCCTCCCCCCCGACCTTGGTGGATGGATCACCTGAGGTGAGGAGTTCAGGACCAGACTGACTAACATGATGAAACCCTGTCTCTACTAAATACAAAAAAAAATTAGCCAAGCACAGTGGCAGGCGCCTATAATCTAAGCTACTTGGGAGGCCGAGACAGGAGAATTGCTTGCACCAGGGATGTGGAGGTTATAGTTAGCCAAGATGATGTCATTGCACTCCAGCCCGGGCAACAGGAGCAAAACTCCCAAAAAAAAAAAAAAGATTTCAAATGACAAAGACTGACAGACTGTCACAGATTAAAGGAGACCAAAGAGACATGACAACTTAATATAACACATAATCCGGGATTTCTTTTTCTATAAAAGATAGCAGGATAACTGGCTACATCAGAATAAATTCCACCGAATAGGTAAAAGTATGATACCAATATCAATTTTCTGACTTCGATAACTGTGCTCAGGGTATATATTAGAATATCTTTGCTTTTAGAAATGAGACATTATTTGGAGAGAAAGCAACATCATCTCTGCAGGCAGTTTTGCAAATAAACTGTGGAGAAAGACAGACAGATAAAGAAATTGTTATCAAGTTAATACCTTAGGAATCCAGAGGAAGGGCATAAAGGAATATGATTTTTCTCTAAGTCTGAAATTATGTCAAAATAAATAGATTAAGGCCAGGCGTGGTGGCTCACACCTGTAACCCCAGCACTTTGGGAGGCCAAGGTGGGCGGATCACCTGAGGTTGGGAGTTCAAGACCAGCCTAACCAACATGAAGAAACCCCATCTCTACTAAAATTACAAAATTAGCCGGGCCCAGTGGCGCATGCCTGTAATCCCAGCTACTCGGGAGGCTGAGGCAGGAGAATTGCTTGAATGTGGGATGTGGAGGTTGCAGTGAGCCGAGATCGTACCATTGCACTCTAGCCTGGGCAACAAGAGTAAAACTCCATCTCAAATAAATAAATAAATAAATAAATAGATAGATTGATAGATAGATAAATTAATAAAAATAGATTTCTTTAGATTAAATAACAATTTAAGGAGAAACAAATTTTCCTTTGACTTGACCTTTCCCAGCAACTCCTGGGGCAGATAGGCGTTCCGGGGCTTAAAGAGAGACCCAGTCTGGCTCAAAGTCAACACAATGGCACCTCCATGCTGAAATAAAGGAGAAAAGGCTGAATTGGAAAAAGTTGAATAGGATAGAAAACTGCAATTGTATCATTTATAGATTTTTTTTTTCTTTCTTGGGCATACAGTCTTATAAAAGTGTGGTCTAGAACAGTTAAATGGCAACTAAATTATTCCAGATTTGGCTCTGACAATAAACTACTGCTGCCTGATTTTAAATTTATCGTGACATACTTTTGGGTCTTAAACTCTTTTTCAAAAATGGTAAGGAAATATAAAAACACTTTAAATGACTGCAAGCAAAATAAAATTAGGCCAATATTTAAATAAAGTGGTTCTGAATAAAGTTACTCCAGTTAAGTGGAAAGATTATAAACCACATACACAGATTTTAATTCAGGCCTTATTTCTAACTTGGTACAGACACGGGAATTAAATAATAACTTACCGTCTATAAAATCAGAGACTGGAAAGTCTCTGATTTTATAGACGATAAGTTATTATCTTATTTAATTAGCAATGAAACAGTAGAGCATGTTTAAAATGAAAACACATTGCTTTCTGAAATGTTTGGCATCATATGCACTTACCCAATCGTTTTTCATCATTTTCCTCAGGTTGTGAACAAGTGCTAATTCCTCTGCGGCAATCTGACATTGGACAGAAAGAGAGAAGAGATCATCTTTTCTCAGATGTTCTCCTGAAACTGACGATTTTTAAAAAACCCTCAACTAAGACATACTTGTATACCTGAAGGTACTCCCCCCGGATAAGCCACATAGCCTCTGGCCCTAGAACTGCCATCCTTCTGGAGATTAGCAGTCACTGAGAGTAAACACCTACCGCCCCAAACCAGCCCCATTTTGATGCTTCTGATCTCCTCTGCTTACACCATTTAGCCTCATTTTGAAAACATAATCAAAAGCCAGAAAAAATTAAGAAAGAAATTACAGCTTCTGCTGTCATGCCCTTTGCATAACACACTCCCATAGTTTTCAATGAATAGTGGAACTCTTGGCACTACCTTCTCCTCTGATTCCATTTACTGTTTATCTTTTTTTTTTTTCTACCCAAATCTCTTTAATCTTTTTTTTTTTTTTGGACAGAGTCTCATTCTGTTACCCAGCTAGAATGCAGTGGCACAATCTCCACTTATTGCAGCCTCTGCCTCTTGGGCTCAAGCCATCCTCCCATCTCAGCCTTCCAAGTAACTGGAACTACACACAGGTGCACACCACCATGCCCAGCTAGTTTCTGGTATTTTTTGTAGAGAAAGGGTTTTGCTACGTTGCTCAGGCTGATCTCAAACTCCTGGACTCACTCAATCCATCTAACTTGGCCTCCTAAAGTGCTGGGATCACAGGCATCAGCTACACCAGTCCTTGCTGTTTATTTATTTATTTGTGTGTGTGTGTACACATATATATATATTTTTTTTGAGACGGAGTTTCGCTCTTGTTACCCAGGCTGGAGTGCAATGGCACGATCTCGGCTCACCGCAACCTCTGTCTCCTGGGTTCAAGCAATTCTCCTGCCTCAGCCTCCCGAGTAGCTGGGACTACAGCTGTGCGCCACCATGCCCAGCTAATTTTTGTATTTTTGGTAGAGACGGGATTTCACCATGTTGACCAGGATGGTCTCGATCTCTTGACCTTGTGATCCACCCGTCTCGGCCTCCCAAAGTGCTGGGATTATAGGCGTGAGCCATCGCGCCCGGCCTACATTTTTTTTTTTAAGACAGAGTTTCACTCTTGTTGCCCAGGCTGGAGTGCAACAGTGTGATCTCGGCTCACCACAACCTCCGCCTCCCAGGTTCAAGCGATTCTCCTGCCTCAGCCTCCTGAGTAGCTGGGATTACAGTCATGCGCCACCACGCCCAGCTAATTTTGTATTTTTAGTAGAGATGGGGTTTTTCCATGTTGGTCAGGCTGGTCTCTACATCCTGACCTCAGATGATCCACCTACCTCGGCCTCCCAAACTGCTAGGAATACAGGCGTAAGCCACTGAGTCCAGCCATATATATATATATATATACACATAATTTTTTTTTAAGAGCCAGGATCTCACTGTGTCACCCAGGTTGGAGTGCAGTGTTGTAATCATGCCTCACTACAACCTTGAACTCCTAGGCTCAAGTGATCCTCTTACTCAACCTCCCAGTAGCAGTGACTACAGGTGTGTGCCACCCTGGCTACTGGCTGATCTCTTATTTTTTTAGAGACAGGGGCCTTGCTATGGTGCCCTGCTGGTCTTGAACTCCTAGCCTCAAGTGATCCTCCTGCCTTAGTCTCCTTAGCCACTAGGATTACAGGTGTGAGCCACTGCACCTAACTCTTTACTGGTGATTTTACTTCAAACACTCCTAGGGCAAGAAAACATATCGTATGGTCTACAAGGCTAACACCCAGCCTCTGTTCTGGTGGAACCAGAAATCAGAGAAATGAGACAGACACCCAGTTTTCCTACCGGTCTTTTATCTTCTCTTTTCAGAGTAGTCCTTCCCCAGAGAGCATTGATTCCATCCACGGCCACCAGGAGGTGAAAAATACCCAAAGAACTTTGTTTCTTTAGCTCTTTCAGCACAATTCCAACTGCATCTGTGGCGTTCCTCACCCGTGTTATGCCCTATTGGGAGAGACAGTGGATTGCAGTGCTGCAAGAGGCCTTCTCTTATTATTACGTTAAACATTCAGTGTCTTTTCTTTATTATTATTATTTTTCAGTGTCTTTTCTTATACCTGTTCAACCACTTCTCCCAGAGGACTGCCCTTCTCAGTGCTTTCTCTCTTATTCCAGACATACTTCTCTTGAACTTTTATCTAAAAGCAAGCAAAGAAAATAAAAACCAAAAAAAGACTGCTTGACCTAAGGATGAACCCATTCCTTGAAAAGTTGGAGGCTAAGATTAACAAGAGTCCATTTTAGTCTACTGCTCAGGTTCTGTAGGAAACGTCAGTGTGGAAGTGAATGCTTTTTTTTCCTTTTTTCTCTTTTGAGACAAGACTCTTGCTCTGTCACCCAGTCTGGAGTGTAGTGGCACGATCTCAGCTCACTGTAACCCCCACCTCCCAGGCTCAAGCAATTCTTCTGCCTCAGCCTCCTGAGTAGCTGGGCCTATAGGCGTATACCACCATGCTGACTAATTTTTTGCATTTTTAGTAGAGATGGGATTTTGCCATGTTGCCCATGCTGGTCTTGAACTCATAGGCTCAAACAATGCCCCCCAACTCAGCCTCCAAAAGTGCTGGGATTACAGGCATGAGCCACACTGTGCCCTGCCAACATGAATGCTTTCTAATCCATTTCAGCTTGGAGTCTTTAAAAAACATACATAAAGAATTCTGATGAAAATGTCCAGAATGAGACTCTGGCATCTGCATTTTTAATAAGCTCTTGGGTGACTCTGCTTTATACCCAGAATTGAATGCCCCTGGTAGAAAGGCTATCCAAGAATCACCAGGGTAAAGAAGAATTTTTCCAATACATTTCTTGTTTCCTAAAAATATCTTATCCTGAGAAGATCATGCATGCAGTTTGGAAATGTTCTTGCAAGGGACTGGAAACTATACCTTTTTTTATTTTTTTTTGAGATGGAGTCTCACTCTATCACCAGGCTTGAGTGCAGTGGCAGGATCTCAGCTCACTGCAACCTCTGCCTCCCAGGTTCAAGTGATTCTCCTACCTCAGCCTCCTGAGTAGCTGGGACTATAGGCATTCACCAACACGCCTGGCTGATTTTTGTATTTTTAGTAGAGACGGGTTTTCACCATGTTGGCCAGGATGATCCCAATCTCTGGACCTTGTGATCTGCCCGCCTCAGCCTCCCAAAGTTCTGGGATTACAGGCATGAGTCACCACGCCTAGTTGGAGACTGTACCTTGAAAAGTCAATGAATCGGCCGGGCGCGGTGGCTCATGCCTGTAATCCCAGCACTTTGGGAGGCCGAGGCGGGTGGATCACGAGGTCAAGAGATCGAGACCATCCTGGTCAACATGGTGAAACCCCGTCTCTACTAAAAC